TGTATCAGTGAAAAGTCCACTACGTGGGATGTCTGTGACTTTACTGCCTATGTTTTCTTCCAGGATTTTTATGGTTTCGTGACTTACATTTAAGTCTTTTATCCATTTTGAGTTTATTTTTGTGTATGGTGAAAGTTGGTGATCTAGTTTCATTCTTTTGCATGTAGCTGCCCAATTTTCCCAGCACCACTTATTGAAGAGACTGTCTTTACTCCATTGTATGCTTTTGCCTCCTTTGTCAAATATTAACTGACCATAATGGCGTGGGTCTATTTCTGGGGTCTCTCTTCTGTTCCATTGATCTGTATGTCTGTTGTTGTACCAATACCAGGCTGTTTTGATTACAGTGGCTTTGTAGTACAGTTTGATATCTGGTAAAATGATCTCTCCCACTCTGTTCTTTTTTCTCAAGATGGCTGCAGCTATTCGCAGTCTTTTTTGGTTCCATATAAATTTTCAAAATGTTTGTTCTAGCTCTGTGAAATATGTTGTTGGTATTTTAATAGGAATTGCATTGAATTTATAAATTGCTTTGGGTAGTGTGGACATTTTAATGATATTAATTCTTCCAATCCATGAGCATGGTATATTCTTCCACTTGTTTATATCTTCCACTGTTTCTTTTTTCAGTGTCCCATAGTTTTCCAAGTACAGGTCTTTTACATCCTTGGTTAAGTTTATACCTAGGTATTTTATTTTTTTAGTTGCAATGGTAAATGGTATTGTTTTTTTAGTTTCTCTCTCTGAAAGTTCATTGTTGGATAAGAATGCCATTGATTTCTGGGTGTCGATTTTGTATCTAATACATTTAATTTTGTGATTCGCTTTTGGTAAAGACAGTGATTAAGATGCCTATTCAGTCTGGTTTTTATTCCCATAATAGATTGGTAATTTGTATATATGTTTAATATGTACATTTGTAGGCAGGGAACAGAGTCAGTACCTGACTGCCATTTTTAGTTATGTGACCTTAGGAAAATCAGAACTTCTTTATAAGATGGGTTGGAAAAGCATGTACATATTAAATATGACCTCTCAGCCATGTCTTACTATTATTCCATGTTCCTTTACTCAACAGTTTATGGGAAGCATGCCTTTAATTTCATAAAGAGTTGTTCTCAAACTCAGGAGAACATAGACTCTTTGAACTGGAAGAAACCTTAGAAGTGATCTATCTCAGCTGAGCTCTCTTAGACCTCATGTCCACTGGTCTCTGAGAAATCTAAAATACCCCTTATTTTTTTAGACAAGAAAAATGAAGATGATACCATAAGGTGTCGGGTGAAAGTTTCTGGAGGAAAGACTCCAGTCTAAGTGTGTGGTCTAAGTGTATTTCCCTAGGAGCACCTAACAGTCTTGTGAACGTTGTTGGTACTTTGTGAATATTTGTTAGAAGGAAGGGAGTGATAAACACAGGGTCACCATGGATTCATGTCAGTCCTCTAGTCTTTCATACCGTCTACTAAGCCAGTATGTATACGTTTAATAAAAAAAGCTTATTCTTACTTAACATACACCATGTTTCAGTCACTATTTTAACAGTTTACATTACTTAACTCATGTAATTCTTGGACTAACTCTGTAAGTACTATTCTTATGCCCATTTTAAGGTGGAAAAAGTGAGGCACAGAAAGATTAAGTAACTTGTGCAAAGTCTCATGACCACTAAATGAAAGGCTGCCATGTGAACCTAGGAAATTTGGGCCTAGAGTCTGTGCTTATAATACTAGGCTATACTCTGCTTAAATAAGTAATTCATAAATTATAGCTGCCTTCCCTCACCTTGGTTATTCCCCTTAATCCATGTTGCCAGATCACAAACCTTTGAGTTTGCCAAGTTCAAGTTTTTATTGATTTGGGAAAGAGAAGAAGGGAGAGTGTGAGAGAGAGAGAGAAACATCGATTGGTTGTCTCCAGCACACACTCCAACCGGGGACCGAACCCACAACTCTGCCATGTGCCCTGACCAGGAATCGAACAACCTGCAGCCCTTTGGTGCACAGGATGACGCTCAGCCAACTGAGCCACACTGGCCGTGGCCATCCTACCTATTTTGAAGGGACTTTGTCTTACAATCTTTAAAAAACATTAACTTGTAAAAAGTATGCTGTGATTCTGTTTAATATAATTGAATCTCTTCTTTACTGCCATTAATTAAAGTTACATTTAAGACTTCTGCATAATTATTAAGTTTTATAAAAGATAGATGATCAACCAGATACAGTTATCAGTGTTTTATCTTTAATTTTTTTTTTTTGCTTTTATTAAAATGTAAGTGAAGGCCAGTCAAAAATCAGTTTGTGGTTTGTTTTTTTTTGTTTTTTTTGGAGAGAGTGGATGGGAGGGGGAGAGAGAGATAGAGAAACATGGATATGAGAGAGACACATTGATTGGTTGCCTCTGCACAGCTCTAGTGGGGCTGGAGATCAAACCTGCAACCCAGGTAAGACCCTTCGGTGCGGTGTGTGGGCCCTCACACTAACCCCGGAGCCACACTGGCCAGGGCTCAGTTTGTGTTTTAAAGCTTGTCTATTTTAATATGCATTTTAATAATCACAGTCTGTGTATGTATTCTCCCCCTTCAGATTTTTGCTCTACAAAAAATTGGAATGTCTCGTTTTCAGTCGTATGTTACCTACTTTGTTCGGGCAATATCAGTGTTGATGATTCCGATTGCTGCGACCGTACCTTCTGTGAGTAAGCACCAGCATTGTGTGCTAAATCTCGTTTGATCTTAGCTTCGTCTGACTGGGATTCTGCCTCTTCTACTGAGCTTTCTCTGACTATTCAATTCCTTAATGGTTTCTGAGTTTTTCTACAAAAATTAATTTACTGTCTCTATCACCAAGTGACACTTAAATATTTCTTGGATTGGTTGATCTTTTATGTGAATGTGTCTTAACTCTTCTATTAAATCAACCTCTTTTTTCTTTTTACAATCTTGCAAAGTACCTTGCACATTACTGTGAACAAAGTATTTGCTCTGTTTGATTAGTTGATATATTGAATTCTTTCTGTCTACATAGACTGGGCCAAAGAATTTAGCACTTACAAAAGATTCAAAACTTTGTGCCAAGTCCATATGTGTTCATATGTGATATTGTTTAACCTTAGACAACTCTTTATGAGCTAGGTACACTTGTCTCCATCTATTTGTAATTAGACTTTGATAGAAATAGAAAAAGAAATGGTTATGTTTGCAGTTATTTCATATCTTTAGTCTTTTGCTTATTTCCCATGGATAGTGCTAAGAGGGCAAAAGTTATGTCAGGTATAGCTCTGTCTTTGCTAAGAGCCGACACATAGACCATAAAGTAGAATCCATTTGTTGCTGATAGTTAGGGTTATATCAGCACATATAAAAGTTTTTTGTATTTACTTATCTTAGGAATCTGGAACAGTATGTTTTCAGCATCAAAAATGTATTTTTAAAGTTGTTCCCTGGACATAATATTGTCACTAATCTTGTGTAGAATAAGTAAGTTATTCCACATTTCTTAAATAGACATCATAATGTCTGTGAGAATTAAAGAAATAACAGCAAGTGCCTATTACAGTAATTTTCATATAATACTAGTGTCATAAAATACCCTGTAAAAATAGAAAAATACAGATTCATGACATTTGAGGGGAGAAATAATACCAGTTATAACTGAGGAAACCCCCAGCTCAAATAAAATAAGAGCGGTAAAGTTTCAATGAGGGACAGGATTCAAAGTGAACAAGATATCTAAAAAAGTGTGTTAGGTACCCAAAAGTTTAGTTAGGAAGCTTAATGTAGAGCTGATGTGGCAGCTATTGGGAGACATGAGCGACCTGGCCTGCCTCTCTCTCAATGCTCTGTCATCCACTGTCCATAATTTCTTTCTTTCTTTTTTTTTTAAATTTTTAAAAAAATACATCTTTATTGATTTTAGAGAGAAGAAGAGAGAGATAGAAACATCCTTGATGAGAGAGTCATTGACTGGCTGCCTCCTCCACACCCCTGACTGGGGATGGAGCCCACAACCCAGGCATGTGCCCTGACCAGGAATCCAACCACAATCTGCTGCCTGGACCCTAGGTCGACGCTCAACCGCTGAGCCACGCCCGGCCAGGCACAGTCTGTAATTTCTGTCCTTCAGGCCTGTGTGGCGTGGTGGCTGCTGGAGCTTGTCGTCTGCAGGAGTCGTAAAGGGAGCTTCCTGTGCAGCAGCCCTTGTAAGAAGGCTCCCCGGACGTCCCACGAACACTCACGCGTACCTCTTAGTTGTGTGGCCACACCTGACTGCCCAAGAGGCTGGGAAGCAATCTTTTTTTTGTGAGATGGCAGCATACTCCGCTAGAAATTAGGGCTTTATTGCTAAGGAAGAATGATTTTTAGTGGACAGCTTGTAGTCTGTAATTGAGTTCAAGGTACTTTTTGCTTAGTGGATAAATCGGATGGTGATGACAGCTAATGTTTAGGCAACACTGACTTTGTGCCAGGCACTATTTAAAGCGGTTTGCATATATATATATTAGTGCATATAATTTTCCCAACAATGCACTGAAGTAGGTGCTACTGTAATCTCCACTTTAGTGATGAGGAAACTTAAGCATAGAGAGGTTAAGTCACTCATCCAAGGTCACTCATCTGTTAAGTGGCAGAGTCTTAACACACATCCAGGAAGCTTGGCTCTTGCTCTTAACTACAGTGGTAATCTGCCTTTGATGATGAGTTGCTTTCTGCTCCTAAAAACTTGCTTTTGGAACAAACGCAAGTGCTTACTATGGGCCACACTGTGCTTTTCCACTCTATGTGAGTTATCTCATTGATTCTTCACAGCAACCTTCTGAGATAGGTATAATCCTGTGCCCATTTTATAAACAAGGAAACTGAAACAGAGGAAAAATAACTTACCTGAAGTCAAAGAAATGGAATTCAGACTTAAGCAGGAAGACTCCAGAGCCTGGACTGTACCACCACATAGTCATGCCTCTGGGTTCTGATTACCTCTGCTGCCAAAGAAAAGTTTGGAACAGGTGTTTGTATGGGATTGTTTTGGGAGGCTGCAGAACTTAGTCACTGACCCACTGACATCAGTCTGGTTGATGGTACAAAAGAACTGAAGATAGTGCTGAGACTGTAAGTTACAGAAAAAGGCAAAGATAACACATTCCTGACTATCCTTAGCAGCTGGTTACTGGAAGGATTTTGTAGATAGGTGACTACATGGAGGAAAATGAGGCCTAGGGAGGCTGAGTTTTCCATCATAAATGGCTGTGCCTCCAGGACCCTGCCTCCAGTGGGGCAGTTTGTCAGGAGTCTTGGTGGGGAAAAAACTTTTAAGTGCCAAAGAAGGGAGGCGAGACTGCTCTGGGCCCCTGGGAGCTAATCTCTGGCATCCACTTTCTATCATGAATACCTCCCTTTTTGCTTGCTTTTGGCTTTTTGGTCTTCCTTTCATCCTTTCTTACCTGTTAGGTCCATCTCAGTTCTCTGAGCAGCTGCAGGTCTTGTTCAGTCCTGGTGTACCTCTATTTACAGAGATTATAATTTTCTTTTGTATTGCCTGCCTGTCTCTGAAGCTTGGTGTCATTGGAGAATGAGAGGTGTTACCATTCATGTCCTTTTTTTTTTTTTTATAGTCGATTGTTCTCTACTGGCTGTGCTCCAGCTTCATGGGCCTTTCACAGAATTTGCTGCTGCGTTCTCCTAGGTTTCGCCAACTTTGCCGGATACCATTGACCAAGGGAGATTCAGACACTCCTTATAAGGACCTCTTTGCTGCCTTTTACATCAAGCTCATTTCAAGAAAATAACATACTTTTCAGCAGTTTTAAAACAGTTACAAGTGTCACTACCACCTTAATACACTTAGAGATTTATTCAGATATGATTTAATGTGCCTTTATTTAAAATCATGAACTCTGTAAAGTACTGTGGGTTAAAATATAATCCAGTTATATTTGACAATACTTAAAATCTTTTAAATGTTAGAAATGTTGTATGTTTAATTGTATTGTAAGAATATATAACTTTCTGGTTCTGTTTATAAAATTACAACTTGCTAGAGGTGGTAGAAATTTGGAGAACAGGATTAGATACTGAATGACATCAACTTATACTGAACAGTCCCACACATTAAAATTTTGTAAAACAAGAGAATCCAATGAGGTGATTCTTAAAATTTTGGAGGTGTGACTGATCATAGACCTGTTTGAGCATCTGATAAAACTATGGTTTTCTCTTTAGAAAAATCCTCAGACTGACAACATGGGGGCCTTCATTGGCCACTGCCCTGAAATGCCTCTGGTAACTCCTGGTTAAGAAATCGTATTCTAATGGAACATACATTAGCAATGAGTTAACTTGGGGTTTTTAAAAAAATGGACTTGAGATACATGGTGGCAGAGCAGTCCATGCATGCAAGAAAGTACCTAATATGGTAGGTGGTATGGCCTCTCAGCAGTGCTCTGAAAGAAGACAGGTGTGTATATTCCTTTTCCTATGGTTTAAGAAGTCTGGAATACAAGGTATGGAACTAAGTACTACTAGAGACCAAAGTGGAAAATCGTAAGCAGTAAGCTTGTTCTGTGAAAGGAGGACAACCAGAAGGGGCTGCCCTTTAGGGAGGTGATTTTATAAACTTGTTTGTTTGGAAGGATTAAGTACTCTAATGGGTTTAAACTATGGAAGATGTTTAATATAGGAAAAATTGACAGATAATATAAATTGTGGACCCAGTTGTTTGCTTGTTTAACTCAAAAAGATGATAAAATTAATTCTGGTTGAGATATTTAGGAATAAACTTCACAGGCATTTGAGAAGATTATAAATTATAAATTTTCACTAAGTTGAAATATGAATCTGATTCTGAGATGCCCTCTATTCCATCTTACATTTTACAATAAAATGAAAACGAAAGTGAAATCAAGTAGTCATTTCTTGAGTGATGTCTATTATGTCTGACCCATTTTGGTTGCCATGTTATTGCAACTCACTGAGAATTTAGAGGTAGCAGTTGAGACTAGGTTCCCTTTTTCTGACTTCCCAGCCCTGGTTTACAACCGCCCTATTGAGAGACAACCCTGCTTCCCTGTAAAGGAATCGACATTTATGTACATTCAGTCCTCATTCATGGATTTTGTGTTTGCCAATTTGCCTACCCACTGAAATGTATTTGTAAACCCCAAATCAATACATTGCTTTTGATGACAGTCTTGGACATACACAGAGTAGCAAAACATTTGAGTCACCTGAGGCACATTTTCCCAGGAGGTAAAACAAAGCTGCATATCTCAGCTTTCAAACTGTGTGTCATTTTGGGGTCTACTTAGTGCTTTGGTTCCCCCCCCCTCATTTTTGTGCTTTTTGTTGGTTATTTCTCTAAAATGGCCTGCAGGTATCATGCTGAAGTGCTGTCTAGTGTTCCCAATCATAAGAAGGCTGTGAAGCTTAAGGAGAAATTATCTGCATTAGATAAGCTTCATTCAGTCCTGAGTTCTGTTGGCCGTGAGTTTAATGTAAATGAATCAACAATACATTGTATTAGTGGTTGACAAAAATGTGACCAGAGGCTCACAGGAACCTCACCCTGTGTATCCGTAGAAGCAACGGTTCAGTATTCACTAATTCAGTCTCTGTGCTGACTTTACAGAATATAACTGCCTCGAATAACTATTTGCAAAATTTACAGTCAAGGGAGCGGAGACAGAAATGTGTGTGCTCGTTTATTGCAAGAAGAGGAGAGGAAATTTGAGAAAAATTTTGGCTGGCTCTGGAACAAGTTGCCCTTGGTATGTGTATCATTGTGTAGGGTTGGGAGTGGCTGGGATCTTGGGATACACTCATGTATAAAGAAAACCAGTGTGTGATGAACTGAGGTGAGTCAGGTACCTGACTTCAGGCTGGTAAATATCCCCCTCAGTTCTTTCTCCAGGCAGATTTTATAGCAAATAAGTTTTATTTCAGAAAATTCAAAGTCTGTGGCCTTTGATCTTACCTCCCCAACAGTTTGTCACAATCTGGAGCACTTCCAGAGCCTGGGGTCAGGCAAGATGGGTACTGAGTGGGCACAGGGAACACATGCTGTTAAGATTCCTTGACAACTGCCTTCTATCTGCTGCTGAGGGACTCCTGGCAGAGCTTAGTCCTGGGCCCTGCCAGTTCAGAAAACCTTGTCTTTTCAGGTGGAGGCCATAGTCTATTTATACATTCCCCTTCCCTGAAAGGGGATTTTTTCCTCCCCTGTGGGCCTTATTTGTGTCTGTGGACAGGGTTCATTGTTTTATGGTTGTGTCTCCGCCTAAGAGTCAGGAAGGGAGACTCACTCCTGGATCAATTTATATCATACCATTATGATGCTGGCTCTCAGAATTCTGTCAGGAGATAACTAGCTGAAGTGACCCAAAATTAGTTTCCCCTGGAACCATTGTGAGAGAACCCCAGAACAGCCCTATCCTGGCTAAATGTCGTAAGTGGGAAGGTGTGGCTTTATAGAAGAAAGTGAAAATCCTTGATTGCCACCTCGCAGATAACCCAGGAGAGGTTGCTAAACTACATGAAGGACCTTGAAGGGAAAAACCAAATGGAGTGAAGCACTTCAGAGCTTTAAAAGCGACTGAAAGCTAAAGACCAAACCTGCACATCTCAAAAGAGTTTCGGCCGGTCCTCCTAGACCACACTGGGGAAATTGTTTCTGGGGAAAAATGAGTACCAAATAAACCTCAGTAGCTTCTCCATATTTCAGTCATGCATATATCTTGATAGTTTCCGCCTCTGAGAATCCCAGGAATCACTTTTTTTAAAGTCACCTTTTAAATTTCTTCAATATCAGATTAATCCCCAAAAGCAATAGGAATAAAGACCCTTAGTTTTTTCCCTCTAGGGTGACAAGTGAAGTCACCATAGACTGCAACATTTGAAATTCGAGGCATGCCATTTGAATCAAGAACGAATTTAGATTTCTGTATTAAAGCTAAACATTCATGAAGCTTTATGCAAAGATAATATAAAACGTGACATTCCAGTTACAATGGGCTATCACTGTAGACACTGTCTTTGGTGAGCTGATGCTGCCAGAACACATATAATCTGGAAATTATCTGGATCTACAGAAAATTTTCTGTTTGAAATGTAGGGCTATAGTTCAAAGTTGGAACAACTGATTCTTTAATATGTATATGCATATATAAAAACATATATATCCTATGTATATTCTTATATATAATGAAATAATTATTTGGCTTTGGGATATTTGAATTTGTGCAGTATTAGGGTTAGGTTTACACATAGGATTAGGGGTAGGGCTACGTTTAGAGTTAGGGTTAGGGTTAGGGCTAGTGTTAGGGTTAGGATTAGAGTTAGACCTAAAGTTAGGGTTAAGGATACGGTTAGCGTCAAGGTTAGGGTCAGGGTTAGGAATACAACTAGGATTAGGGTTAGGGCTACAATTAGGGCTAAAGTTACGGTTAGGGTAAAGGTTAGGGTTAGGGTTACTGTTACGATTACATCTAGGGTTAGGGTTAGGGCTAAAATTAGGGTTAAGGCTAAGATCAGGGTCAGGGTTAGGGTTAGGCATAGGGATACGGTTACGTCGAGATTTAGGGTTGCGGTTAGGGTGAAGATTAGAATTAGAATTCGACTGAGGGATAGTTAGGGATAGGTGTAGGGTTAGGGTTATTATTAGGACTACGGTTAGAATTAGGGTAAGTATTTGGGTTAGGATTACACCTAGGGTTAGGGTTTGGGTTAGGGTTAGGGTTAAGGTTAGGGTTAGGGTTGGGGTTATGTTTAGGGTTACACCTTGGGTTAGGGTTAGGGTTAGGATTAGACCTAGGGTTAGGTATAGGGATAGGATTAGGGTGAGGGTTATAACTAGGTTTAGGGTTAGCGTTAGGGTTACGGTTATGGTTAGCTTTAGATTTAGGGTTAGAATTAGGTTTAGCGCTACAGTAAGGGTTTGTGTTAGGGTTAGGTTTAGGGTTATACCTAGGTTAGGGTTACGGTTAGGCTTAGTATTACCATTAGGGTTAGGGCTTCGGTTAGGGTTAGGGTGGGGATTAGGCTTAAGGTTCGACCTGGCTTTACGGTTAGTGTTAATGTTAGTGTTAGGATTAGGTTTATGGTTAGGGTTAGGGTTAAGGTTAGGGTTAGGGTTAAGGTTACACCTAGGGTTAGAATTAGGTTTACGGTTAGGTTTAGGGATATAACTGGGTTACGGTTGGGGTTAGAGTTAGGTTTAGGGTTAGGGCTAGGGTGAGGTTTAGGGTGAGGGTTAGGGTTAGACCTGGGTTAAGGATTAGGGTTACGGTTACTGTGGCTCTTAGGGTTAGGGTTAGACCAAGGATTAGGGTTACGGATAGAGTTAGGTTAGGTTTTGGGTTAATGTTTGGGTTAGGGTTAGGCTTAGGGTTCAGGTTACACCTAGTGTTAGGGTTAGGGTTAGGGTTAGGGTTCGGGTTACACCTAGGGTTAGGGTCAACGTTAGGATTAGGGTTAGTGTTATCCCTAGGGTTAGGGTTAGGGTTAGGGTTAGGGTTAGGGTAAGGTTTAGGGTTAGGGTTAGGGTTAGGGGTAGGGTTAGAGTTAGGGTTACGGTTAGGGTTAGGGTCAGGGTCAGGTTTAGGGTTAGGGTTAGGGTTAGGGATGAGGTTAGGGTTAGGTTTAGGGTTAGTGTTAGACCTAGGGTTAGGGTTAGAGTTAGGGTTAGGATTACGGTTAGGTTTAGGGTTAGGGTTTGACCTAGGGTTAGGATTAGGGTTAAGGTTAGAGTTAGGGTTAGACTTATGGTTAGGGTTAGGGTTAGGGTTAGACCTAGGGTTAGGGTTAGAGTTAGGGTTAGGGTTAGGGTTAGGGTGACACTTAGGGTTAGGGTTAGGGTTAGGGTTAAGGTTAGGGTTAGGGTTAGACCTAGGGTTAGGGTTAGGGATAGGGTTAGGGTCAGGGTTAGGGTTAGGGTTAGGGTTAGGGTTAGACCTAGGGTTAGGGTTAGGGTTAGGGTTAGGGTTAGGGTTAGGGTTAGGGTTAGGGTTAGGGTTAGGGTTAGGGTTACGGTTAGGGTTAGAGCTGTCTCTTATACACATCTAGATGTGTATAAGAGACAGGGGTTAGGGTTAGGGTTAGACCTAGGGTTAGGTCTGTCTCTTATACACATCTAGATGTGTATAAGAGACAGGGGTTAGGGTTAGGGTTAGACCTAGGGTTAGGGTTAGAGTTAGGGTTAGGGTTAGGGTTAGGGTGACAGTTAGGGTTAGGGTTAGGGTTAGGGTTA